CTGGAGCATGGAAGTCTGAAATGAAGATGTTGGCAGGGCCATTCCCTCTCTGAAACCCATAAGGGATATAAACTAAAAATAAAATCCTGAGCTCCCTGCCAACTGAATAGAGCTCCTCTTGGCCAAGGGGACCCAAGAAAAACCTTAAAAACTGAGTTCCCGGGAATGATGGGATGGGAGGTCAGATATCCCTCATTATATCCACTACCTTTTGCACTTTAGATATAGTAACTGGCCAGCATAAATGTTATAATAGAGATCCTAAAATTGATGGAATAGACTCTTTGTGGCAATAAGATACCAAATTATAAACAGGAGTTAAGGTCATGTGAGGCAAGGGTTAAGTGGAGATCACACCTCCACTTAAAAGAATAAGCTGTTCTAACTTCCATAAGGTGTTTTTTTTTTTTTTTTTTTATCTAGCAGCTAAACAAGCACTGGTCTCCAGATAAGGAATATTAAAACAATTGTAGCTCATCACCAGACACTAACTGACCCCCTGTTACACAAGCCATAACTACAGCTTTGATTGGGTGAGAGACTGATTTCAGTAACCTTCTCCTGATAAAACCACCAGGCTAGTGTGGTGGCTCATGCCTGTAATCCCAGCACTTTGGGAGGCCAAGGCAGGAGGATCACTTGAGCCCAACAACTCAAGCCTAGCCTGGGCAAGATGTCGAGACTGCCTCTCTATTGAAGAAAAAAAGAAGAAGAAGGCCGGGCACGGTGGCTCATGCCTGTAATCCTAGCACTTTGGGAGGTTGAGGCAGGCTGATCACGAGGTCGGGAGATGGAGGCTATCCTGGTCATCATGGTGAAACCCTGTCTCTACTAAAATACAAAAGATTAGCCAGGTGTGGTGGTACATGCCTGTAGTCCCAGCTATTTGGGAGGCTGAGGCAGGGGAATCGCTTGAACTCGGGAGGCGGAGACTGCAGTGAGCCAAGATCCTCCCATTGCACTCCAGCCTAAGCATCAGAGCAAGACTCTGTCAAAAAAAAGGGAAAAGAAAAAGAAAAAGAAAATTGGCAGGGTGTGGTAGCACCCACCTGTAGTAGAATCCCTTGACCCCAGGAGTTCAAGGATGCGGTAAGCTGATTGCACCACTGCACTGCAAGGCCAAATTTCTTAGGAAAAAAAGAAGGCCGGGCACGGTGGCTTCTTTTTTTTTCTTAGGAAAAAAAAAAGACCAAGGACTGGGTCTGGCCTGTTTACAGATACTGAGCACTTCAGTGCCTTCATATCCTAAAAAGATCTTTTGACATATAGGGCCTAATTATAACACATTTAAATGTTCTTTTTTAAAAAAAACAAAAAACAAAAAACGGGATTTCACCATGTTAGTCAGGCTGGTTTTGAACTCCCAACCTCAGGTGATCCGCCCGCCTCAGCCTCCAAAGTGCTTGGATTACAGGTGTGAGCCATCATGCCTGGCAATACATTTAAATGTTAAGTCTCCACTCCAAAGTGAATGTAAGTTGTATGTTACATGCATGTTTGGTCAATATGCATGCATCAGAACTACTGATATCATTTGGCTCTGTGTCCCCACCCAAATCTCATGTTGAATTGTAATCTCCAATGTTGGGGAAGGGACCTGGTAGGACGTGATTGTATCGTGCAGGTGGGTTTCCCCCTTGCTGTTCTCATGATAGTGAGTTCTCACAAGATCTGGATGTTTGAAAGCCTGTAGCACCTTTGCCTTCACTCACTCTCTCCTCTCTCTCTCTCTATCTCCTGCTGGCCATGTAAAGAACTGCTTGTTTCCCCTTTGCCTTCCACCGTAATTGTTAAGTTTCTTGAGGCCTCTCTCGAAGCAGAATCATGTATAGCCAGCAGAACTGTGAGCAGATTAAACCTCTTTTCTTTATAAATCACCCAGTCACAGGTAGCTTTTCTTTTCCTCTTCTTTTTTTTTTTGAGACAGAGTTTTGCTGTGTTGCCCAGGCCAAAGTGCAATGGTGTGATCTTGGCTCACTGCAAACTCTGCCTCCCAGGTTCAAGAGATTCTCCTGCCTCAGCCTCCTGAGTAGCTGAGACTACAGGCATATGCCATGACACCTGGCTAATTTTGTATTTTTCGTAGAGATGGGGTTTCACCATGATGTTCAGGCTGGTCTCGAACTCCCAATCTCAGGTGATCTTCCCGTGTCAGCCCCCCAAAGTGCTAGGATTACAGGTGTGAGCCACCACAACCGGCCAACAGGTAGCTCTTTATAGCAATGTGAGAACAGACTAAAACAACTACCTTTGTGAATATTCATAGCTCCCCTGTAACCTATTGAATATGAGTGCTTAGCCAACTGTTCATAAAGCTCTACCTCAATCCCTTCTCCTCCAAAGTGCCTGTCTCTGGACTCTGCTAGAGGCTGTACTTCCCAGCCTATAGGATGGCCACCGTGTAAGCCGTAATCCTTTAAAAGAAATAGTTTCCATTTCCAAACTTGTAGATCTTGTGATTTTTAAGAACGGAGAATCCTTCTTTGCCTTTTCGAGCTTCTGCTGTTTGCTGGCAATCCTTGGTCGTAGATTCATCCAATCTCTGCCTCTGTCATCACATGACCATCTTTTCCTTATGTGTCTCTTTTAAATAAACTAGTCATGCTGTATTAAGGGCCCACTCTACTCTAGCATGAACTCATCTTAACTGATTACATCTGCAATGACTCTATTTTCAATTAAGATCATTTTTTGAGGTACTGGGGGTTGGGATTTTTTTTTTTTTTTTTTTTGGAGATGGAGTTTCGCTCTTGTTGCCCAGGCTGGAGTGCAATTGTATTATCTCAGTTCACCACAACCTCCGCTGGGTTCAAGCGATCCTCTTGCCTCAGCCTCCTCAGTAGCTGGGATTATAGGCATGTGCCACCACGCCCAGCTAATTTTGTCTTTTTAGTAGAGACAGGGTTTCTCCATGTTTGTCAGGCTGGTCTCCATCTCTGGACCTCAGGTGATTGCCCGCCTCAGTCTCCCAAAGTGCTGGGATTATGGGCATGAGCCACTATGCCCAACCTCAGGGTTGAGATCTTAACATATCTCTTTTGGGGGAAACAATTTAACCCACAACTTCTTATACCAGAAACTTAGTTTACACACAGCCTGTTTTTTCCAAGGCAATTTAAGTGTGACTACCTCATAGACACATTAAATCTGAAGAAAGGTTTACCTGATTTTGATCTATTAAACTGACTGTACTTGAAATATGATTTTGTCTGCATCTTCCTTTATATGGAAACTTTTTTTTTTTTTTGAGATGGAGTCTTGCTCTGTTGCTAGGCTGGAGTGCAGTGGAGCAATCTCGGCTCACTGCAACCTCTGCCTCCCAGGTTCAAGCGATTCTCCTCCCTCAGCCTTCTGAGTAGCTGGGACTACAGGTGCGTGCCACCACGCCTGGCTGATTTTTATTTTTAGGAGAGATGGGGTTTCACTGTGTTAGCTAGGATGGTCTTAATCTCCTGACCTTGTGATCCACCTGCCTTGGCCCCCAAAGTGCTGGGATTACAGGTGTGAGCCACCGTGCCCAGCCTGGAAACTCTTTTATTACTGAAAGAATCATTCCTTGACCAGAGGTAACTCTAAATTCCTTTGTGGATTTTAGAATCAAAATGATACTTGCGCAGTCCAGCTACTCTCTTGAATTGAGAAGTAACTCAGGAGACATTTGCTGTGGCTTTCTCTTTACAATGTGGATTGAGGAAGAGAAGGACCATGTGCCAAAAAGATAAGGCAGATGCACAGGTAGCTGAGTCAAGAGCGAGTCTTAGTGACATTTGGGTCCCAGGCTTCAATTATTCTTGGGCTCAGGTTTACTCCTATTCTTGGGGTGAGTTGTGTATACTTACAATTGTCTACACTCACAGTTGTTTTTAAAAAATACATAGTTTGAGTTAGGTTTCAATTATTTAATTTAGGAAGCATTTTTACCAGGACTGCTGTGTGGCACAACACTAGGTGGTGCTGTTCATTACAGCAGCCACCAGCTCCATCTAGCTATTTAAATTAATTAAAGTTAGGCCAGGGGCAGTAGCTCACGTCTGTTCATCCAGCACTTTGGGAGACTGAGGCAGGAGGACTGCCTGAGCCCAGGAGTGTGAGAACCAGCCTGGGCAAGATAGTGAGACATTGTCTCTACAAAACATTTTTTTCTTAAATGTAATAACAAATATGTATTTAAAATTAATTAAGGCCAGGCGCAGTGGCTCATGCCTGTAATCCCAGCACTTTGGGAGGCTGAGGTGGTCAGATCACCTAAGATCAGGAGCTCGAGACCAGCCTGGTCAATGTGGTGAAACCCCGTCTCTACTAAAAATGCAAAAAGTTAGCCAGGCGTGGTGGTGGGCACTTATAATTCCAGCTATTCGGGAAGCTGAGATAGGAGAATTGCTTGAACATAGGAGACACAGGATGCAGTGAGCCGAGATCATACCATTGCACTGCACTCCAGCCTGGGCGACAGAGTGAGACTCTGCCTCAACAACAACAACAACAACAACAACAACAATAAAACAAACAAATGAACCCCACTAAAATTAAATAAAACTAATAATTCAGTCACACTAATCACATTCCAAATGCTTAATAGCCACAAGGGGCTAGTTGCTACTGTACTGGACAGCACAGACAGAACATTTCCATCATTGGAAAGTTCTTTTGGGTAGCGCTGGTCTTCCATGAATGGCTCCCTGGAGTTAAAGGGGCATAATCAAGAGGAAGGTCCATCCTCAGTTGTGCCAAGACAAGGAAAAGAAAAAAAGAAAGGTAAGGGTCCACACAACACACGTAGCTATATTCTCAAAGCCCATTTTACAGTAAGTTCTGTTTATTAAGGTGTACTTTATTTCCACCAACTAAGGCTGTACGTTTCCAAAATTTCAAGTGTCTTAGTTTTCTATTCCCTTTAGAGATGTGAATTTTTAAGTGTTTTAGTGAAAAGAGCCCTGAATTCAGAGTTGGTACTTGCACTCTTACTCTGTTACTATGTGACAAATCACATTAGCTTCACATTGTTGCTATAACAACTTTTTTATTGTAACAACACAAAGGTATTATCTTATAGTTTGGTAGGTGAGAAATCTGATACAGGTGGGCTAAAGTCAAGGTGCTAGCAGGGTTGTGTTCCTTTTTGCAGCCTCTATTGGGGAATTTATTTTCCTGAGATACCTTGGCTGTTATCTTCAAAGAAGCTATGGCAAAGAAGACTTTCACATCACATCACTCTGACACATTGTTGTGCTCCCTCTCCCACTTATAGGGACCTTGTGATTACCTTGGGCCCAACAACATAATTCAGGATAAATGTCAACATTACAACTTAATGAAGGCCGGCAGATTGCTTGAGCCCAAAAGTTAGAGACCAGTCTGAGCATCATAGCAAGACCGTATCTCTACCAAAAACTTAAATTAGCGAGATCTGGTGGCAAAGGCCTGTAGTCCCAGCTACTTGGGAGGCTGAGATGAGAGGATCACTTGAGCCCAAGAGATCCAGGCGGCTGTGAGCTGTGATCGTATCACTACACTCCAGCCTGAGCGAGAGGAGATCCAGTCTCAAAAAAAGGGAAAAGGGCTTTCCTGAGGGTCAAATGAAGTACAGTTCGCCCTTGAACAACATGACTTTGAACTGCATGGGTTCACTTATGCAGAATTTTCTTCTCCCTCTTCCACCCAAGACAGAAAGACCGACTCTTCCTCTTCCTCCTCAGCCTACTCAGTGTGAAGATGATGAGGATGAAGACCTTTATAATGATCCATTTCCACTCAATGAATAGTAATTATGTTTTCCTTAAGGAGTGCAGTGGTTTCTTGGCTCAGTGCAACCTCTGCTTCCCAGGCTCAAGAGATTCTCGTCTCAGCCTCACAGGTAGCTGGGATTGCAGGCATTAGCCATCAGGCTTGACTAATTTTTGTATTAATTTTTTTGTAGAGATGGGATTTTGCCATGTTGCCCAGGTTGGTCTTGAACTGAGCTCAAGTAATCTGCCTGCCTCAGTGTTCCAAAGTGCTACGATTACAGGGTAGAGTCACCACGCCTGGCCCAAGGATTTTTTTTTTAAAGAACACTTTATTTTCTCTAACTTACTTTATTGTAAGAATGCTGTATATAACACATATAGCATATAAAATATGTGTTAACTTGACTGTTACTGGTAAGTTTTTCAGTCAACAATAGGATATTAATAGCTTTTTAAATTTTTTAATTTATTTATGAGACCCAACGGTTTATACACACACACAGACACTTTTTTTTTCCTCTAAAGGGATGAGGTCTTGCTATGTTGCTAAGGCTGGAGTGTAGTGACTATTCACAGGCGTGATCCCACTACCGATTAGCATGGGAGTTTTGACCAGCTGTTTCTGATCTGGGCGGGTTCACCCCTCCCTAGGCAACCTGATGGCCCCCTGTTCCTGGGAGGTCACCATATGGATATCAAAATTAGTGAGGAAGCCCAATCAGCATAGCGCACTATATTCCAGAACTGCTGAGCTCAAGAGATCCTCCTGCCTCAGGTTCCCAAGTAGTTGGGACTACAGGAACACACCACAGCATCTGGTAATAGTTAAGATTCTGGGGAGTCAAAAGTTACACATGGATTTTTTTATTGCTCAAGGAGTTGGTGCTCCTACTGAGGAAGTCAAATATATAATTTTAAATTGTCTATTAATCCTCCACCCTCTTTTTAAAAATCAAGAGTCTGGGTGAGGTGGCTCGTGTTTGTAATCCCAGCACTTTGGGACGCTGAGGTGGGAAGATCACTTGAGTTCAAGAGTTGGAGACCAGCCTGGGCAACATAGAGAGATCTTGTCTTTACTAAAACTAAAAAAAAATTAGCTGGGCATGGTGGCACACCCCTGTAGTCCCAACTACTGAGGAAGCTGAGGTGAGAGAATCACTTAACCCTGAGAGCAAGCCCCTGTCTCAAAAAGAAGCCCCAAACAAATAACTCCCCTAAAAATAATCAAGAGTTAAAGTTTACTAAATCATAGGCTTAACGTCCTATTAGCAAAAAAGACAACAAATTTTGTGTTGCCATAACAGTGAGTAAAAGTAGTCACCCTCATGAAAATCATTCAAATTCAGAGAGTTAGAAAAAACTCTGGTAACAGGATTCATCCTTCCTTTCTAACTCACCAAAATGACTCCTCTAGAGAAAACAATCTTTGTGATCCTATGTATTTTGAGTATTAAGGTAGTTCTGTCTTCATAATATACTAAATGTTCAGATCAGAAATTAAAAGGTGATGACCAGGGGTGGTGGCTCATGCCAGCACTTCGGGAGGCCAAGTGGGTGGATCACAAGGTCAAGCAGTTCAAGACCAGCCTGGCCAATATGGTGAAACCTTATTGCTACTAAAAATACAAAAATTATCTGGGACGTGGTGGCAAGCGCCTATAGTCCCAGCTACTCAGGAGCTGAGGCAGGAGAATTACTTGTACCTGGGAGGTGGAGGTTGCAGTGAGTCAGTATCGTGCCACTGAGCTCCACCCTGGGTGACAGAGCAAGACTCTGTCTTAAAAAAAAAAAAAAAAAAGTCATCACCTTTGACCATTAAAAAAAAAAAGTAAAGGTGATACAAGAGTAAATCCTGATTTTTGAATCTATGTCCTTAATTATCACTGACCTTGTCATCAGATGGTTCCTTCCATATTGAAATACTTCTATTAATGTACCTTAGAATGAACATTTTCTACAAGTTGTCACAATATGCTTTATCTGAATAATACAGAAGCATTTTTTATATATTTTCATTTAATGATGCAAAATACAAATGCTGACTTCGTATATAGTCACATATAACCTTTTTTCTCACATTCGTATATAGTCACATATAACCTTTTTTCTCACATTTACAATTCGACAGATGGTAAATCCAGAGAAACAACTACAGTCACTATATGGAGCATACCTATAATGAAGAAAGAAAAAAATATATAGCATTAGCCAGCAGAAGTAATATTAAAATTAAAATACTCTGAATAATTCATCTTAGAGCATCAGAAAAAGTCTAGAAAAGAAACCCACAAAGAGTAGCAATACCTTATTTTAACAAAAAATATTTTGCGTTAACTATAAAAGAATAGCAAAAACCATCTGGTTTGTATTTAAATGCCTATTTCATTTTTACCTCTTTTTTTTTTGGTAGAGTTCCCTGAACTCCTGGGCATATGCTATCCCACTGTCTTGGCCTCCCAAAGTACTGCGATTACAGGCATAAGCCACCAAGCCCAGCCTCATTTTTTAATCTCTTGATTGGCTGTTTGGAGTAGTAAAATGGGCAGGGTACTTATAGAAAAAAGGCAAACGATTTGGAAAATCAACCATAAAGAGCTGAGTTTCAGAGTCATAAAATATGGAAAACAAAGGATAGTTTGTTGATCACTATGTTTATTATACAGCAGATATAAGTTACTTAACGTTAATCAACCCAGTCACAAAACCTGAGATTTTTAAGTGACTCTTCACTTATAAAAGAATATAGGATTTTTAGGCCGGGCTCGGTGGCTCACGCCTATAATCCCAGCACTTTGGGAGGCCGAGGGGGGTGGATCACAAGGTCAAGAGATTGAGACCATCCTGGTCAACAAGATGAAACCTCGTCTCTACTAAAAATACAAAAATTAGCTGGGCATGGTGGTGTGCGCCTGTAGTCCCAGCTACTCGGGAGGCTGAGGCAGAAGAATTGCTTGAACCCAGGAGGCAGAGGTTGCGGTGAGCCGAGACTGTGCCATTGTGCCATTGTACTCCAGTCTGGGTAACAAGAGCGAAACTCCGTCTCAAAAAAAAAAAAAAAAAGAATATAGGATTTTAAAATAAGCGTTTCAGAAATACACCATATATATGTATGGTATACTTATATATATATTTGATACATAGCTATTAGATATATATATATAAAAATATATATATTCATTATTATTTTTTGAGATGGAGTTTTGCTCTTGTTGCCCAGGCTGGAGTACAATGACACAATCTCGGCTTACTGCAACCTCCGCCTTCTGATTTCAAGCAATTCTCCTTCCTCAGCCTCCTGAATAGCTGGGATTACAGGTGCCTGCCACCACACCCAGCTAATTTTTTGTATTTTTAGTAGAGATGTGGTTTCACCATGTTGGCCTGGCTTGTCTTGAAATCCTGACCTCAGGTGATCCACTCACCTCAGCCTCCCCAAGTGCTGGGATTACAGGCATGAGCCATCATGCCTGGCCAGGTGTATATACTTTTAAATTATTTATTTATTTTTGAGACAGAGTCTCGTTCTGCCACCCGGGCTGGCTGGAGTGCAGCAACCCAATCTTGGCTCACTGCAACCTCCCAACCACCGCCTCCTGAGTTCAGGCAATTCTTGTGCCTGAGCCTCCCAAAGTAGCTGGGACTACAGGCGTGCACCACCATGCTCAGCTAGTTTTTGTGTATTTTTAGTACAGATGGGGTTTCACCATGTTGGCCAGGCTGGTCTCAAATTCCTTGCCTCAAGGCCTCTCAAAGTGTTGGGATTACCAGCATGAGCCACTACACCCAGCCAGGTGTATATATTATATATACATAAACTTTCTCTTTTAAATCCTAGACCATGCAGAATATGCTATTTTGTTGATAACTAGGTTTTTACCAGGAACTGTCCAATTGGATATTAGTTGTAGTGACAATCATAATGAAATAGTCATGCAGAAAAACATTTAAAAATAAATTGCCCTTATACATTCATCACTTCTACAAATATTAAACTCTAAATGGACAAGATGAATAAGTTGCTGAATAAACAATTAAAAACAGGTTTCTGTTCTCATGGAATTCATACTCGAGTGTGGGATATAGCAAACAGATATTAAGAAAAACACACACAAAGAATAATAATTTGTTGTAAGAGCCATGAAAACAAGGTGTAAAGCACTATTAGATTTAGGAAAATAATGTGATTATGGTTTCATTCTTAAACATATCTTTCTTTGAACAGAGTAAAAGATTAACGATTAAAAATGATTCTGCTCTGGGCGCGGTGGCTCACAAGGTCAAGAGATTGAGACCATCCTGGTCAACATGGTGAAACCCCGTCTCTACTAAAAATACAAAAATTAGCTGGGCATGGTGGTGCACGCCTGTAGTCCCAGCTGCTTGGGAGGCTGAGGCAGGGGAATTGCTTGAATCCAAGAGGTGGAGGCTGCTGTGAGCCGAGATCGCGCCATTGCACTCCAGCCTGGGTAACAAGACCGAAACTCGGTCTCAAAAAAAAAAAAAAAGATTCTGCTAAAAGATTCTTGAGGCCAGCAAAAGGGCTCATGCCTATAATCCCAAGACTTTGGGAAGCTGAAGAGATAGGATCATCTGAGGCCAGGAGTTTGAGACCAGCCTAGCAAACAGGTCTACAAACAAAGAAACAAACAAACAAACAAAAACCCCCCAAACCAACTGCTTGAGGCAAGGTATTACAAATTTATAAATTTGTCACAGACAGAAATATGGGTGCCAAAATGTATAAACCTAATACAAAACAAACAACAAGATTGTTTTTCAGTATTTAAAAAAGAGGTCAAGTTAATTTGCATTATCTATTCATCCAGTAAACTTGTATACTTACTGTATTAGTATTTCAAGTTTATTCCAGTTCATTTCTTCTTTTGTACTCTAAAATATATTCATTATGTTTTCGGATGAGCTACAAATAAAGTTAAAATTAGAAATGTAATCTTCCTGGATACTTATATTTTGTAAGATGATTAAGAAGAGAAAAAATAACTATTCTGGTTAGAAATAAAAGGCTAAGAGATCCAAAAGTTCAAAAACCAGGAATGGTATACACTTGATCACCACAATCTGACATACTAAATTTGAGAAGGGAGCCCTTAAAATTTTATTTATTTATTTATTTAGAGATGGAGTTTTGCTCTTGTTGCCCAGGCTGGAGTGCAATGGCATGATCTAGGCTCACTGCAATCTCCTTTTCCTGGGTTCAAGCGATTCTCCTGCCTTAATATCCCCAGTAGCTGGGATTACAGGCACCCGCCACTACGCCTGGCTAATTTTTGTATTTTTAATAGAGACAGGGTTTCTCCATATTGGCCAGGCTGGTCTCAAATTCCTGACCTCAGGTGATCCACCCACCTCGGCCTCCCAAAGTGCTGGGCTTACAGATGTGAGCCACTATGCCTGGCCAAAATTTAAATTCAACTACTGCCAAAAAATTTTTCTCATTTGGTGGGTAATAAATGTAATGAAATGCCTTATCAGGGGTAAAGCAACATGATACAGCAGAATTTGCTTATTAAATGGGATCCAGGCTGGTTGGTGATTCCTGTTATGCTTCTAATATTAGAAGTGTGATACCTTGATTGAACGACCAATCCCACCACAAAACTGTGTGTGTATTACTTAGATGTCATGGAGGACAGTCACATTTTTTTAGAACCACTGTCTGATAGAATATGCAACTGGAAAAATAGTTTATATACAATGACATTCATGGCAATCAAAGATCCAAGTTCAATCACTAGTGTTCTCAGCAGTAATCAAGCATCTTGTTAGAATAAACCTTAAATTAAAAATGTATAAAATTTATTATAAGCAGTATTATTAAAAAAGACGAGTTACTATTAAGTTGTAAGCGACTCAAAATCTCTCATCCCTTTCCTAATCAAAAATCTGAACCACTTTAACAAGAAAAATTAAAATATCTAAGACCTGGGGGCCAGTTGAGGAAGCCCCAGACCCATTAGATAATAAATAAAATTTTAAATATTAATATAGCAGATAATTTAACTTTAAAAAATAATTTTATCTCTAGAGAGGCAGTGTTTCACAGTGGTCTACGGGATACTGTGGCTTCTGAAGTCAGGAGAACTGAGTTCAGCAAATTAATTTCTCCAAGTGTGTTTCTTATCTGTAACGGGTCAACAATAGTAGGTACCACATAGTGTTGTTGAAATGATTAAATACAAGTTTATGTGTGAAGCATGTGACGTGAAAAAATTTTTAAAAAGGTCACTACATGCTAAGTACAATTTCCAACAGAGTATTTAAACAAACATTGATTAAAACCTAATGTTTTGGAAGTCTACTGGGATTCAATTTGTACACTTGCACACCGCTGGTTTGTACAACTTTGTACAGCATCTGAAAAAGTTGCCTTCATAGAACTCCAATCAGCCTCAATTCTCATTAATAAAGTATAATTACTATTTAGTAAAACTGCTATTCCTTACAAAATCATGTTAAGAAACAGTAACAGAAATTTCAGTCCCATCACACTTTTTCAATGTTGCCGAAATCTTAATTTCTTTTTAGTCCTTGGGATTTTCCTTACGGATAATTATGTTATCAGCGATTATATAAATATCCTCCTGCTAGTAGAGTTTCACTGCCATACAACGTAACAGCACCAATCTCGCAATGCTATCTCATTCTCCTACTATGTTGGCATAGTCTCACGACATCCGGTAGTAAAGTACTTACATAGACCCACAAGAAGACGCTGGTGCCCACGGACAACCCAACTTTCAGCCAGTCAGGTTTGGCATTCGGAGGGTCTCGAACGTAGAACTTCGACCGCGCTGAAGCTGAAAGGGCAGAGTGTCTGTAAATCTGTAATTTACTGCCTTGTAGGGAAAAAACCCTAATATCTATGGGCGTATTATCGCGTTTAACTCTCCGTTCAACTCACCCATCACCCACTTAAACAGCCAAGGAAATAGAGGTTCAGAGAGGTCAAGTAACTCGCCTAGGGCCACTGGCAGAATTAGACAGGTCGCACCAGTCCTGCCCGACGCCTTCAAAGCCTCGTTTAAGGGCTTGCAGACCCTCAGACGACTCCGGAGTGCGCTAGGGGGCGCCCCGGGGAGGGTGTCTCCTCTCCCTGTCTACGGGACCGAACGTGCAGAGCTGGGAAAGGCAGGGACCCAAAGTCCATTTACAAAGGCCAAGAGTGGTCAGGTCGCACTTGGATAAGTGCACGAGGCAGGTGATGGGAAGTAGGCCTGGGCAGCTGGCAGCCGAAGGTCACTGCAGGACGAGCCCGGGCCGCTGCCGCGTCCTGCACCCGCGGGCTGGGTCCGTCTTAGGAGGGTTAATCTGAGGGTCGAGTTGGCCTGCAAGAGGAGGGACACTCACAGCGGCTCGGGAGCTTGGCAGGGGCCAGCAGCCGGGAGAAGGGACGCAGCAACGCAGACAGCGCCATCTTAAGTCGCCGGCCTTGGTCTCTCCGGGAGTCGGCGTCAGAACCAGCGCCGCCTGGCGGGCGGAAGTGCGGGACTCGGGGGCTCTGCAGCCAAGCTTCGTCGGGGTGTCAACTGGAATCCCAGTACGGCAAGGTTCCCCAGCACCCCGGCCTCAGCCTTCTGTCTAAAAAGTGGAATTAGGAAGAATGTAATTAAAAGAAAAGGAAAGTTTACCTATCCTCTGTCCTCTGGGGTTTTTTCATCCCATCTCTAAGGCTACTCATCAAGAGGTTTATTAAAATTTTCCTAATGAGCCAGAAAAAGAAAATGAAGTGTCGTGCTGAATAATAACTAGAGTTTGGATTGAATTCTGTGGTCCAGGCACGGTGCATTAATGTATCATATGGTTTATAGTCATTGTCTTATTTCATCTTCACAACGAGCGCATATCATGCCATGATTATTAGCCTCAATTTACAGATGAAGGTCAAAGAAGACAGCTACTCACCCAAGATGACATATATTTTATAGTTGAAAATCTCGTAACACTTACCATTTACACTCACGATCATAATGAAGCTTCACAAACCTGTGAAGTAGAATTTCCGTATTTTAGAAGTGAAAGTGCCTTGGAGAGGCTCAAGATCACACGGCTGGCAGAGGAGAGATACAGTTTGAGGTCTTCTGACCCCAGATCTAGTGATCCTCGTGAGTCACCTAACAGACTTGGGCAACCCTAGACCATAAGATGTAGATCAGCGTTCAAAGCCATTCTGCTTACCACTTTTTAGCTCTACGATTTCTAGGCAAATTACTTAACCTCTCTTTACCTAAATTTTACAACTGTAACATAAACCTTATAGGGTTGTTGAGAAGCTTAGATAAGTGTCTGGTAGTCGTAAACAATTTATTTGGTTTTGCCTATTAAAGACATTGTTTTGAGGAAGAGGTTTTATCTTGCACAACTGAGCCAGATCTTTGTGCATTCAATTCAGTTCAATCTGATGTCTAAAGACCAGTAAAAATATGTACAGGCAACAGACCAATATATTTTGACCCTTTAAAGATAATCCTTATGTCATTTAGGTTAACTTTAAAACCAAAATAAATGTTAGCAAATCTCCTATATTCTTTTCAGCAGTGTTATTTTAAAATCTTTTTTTAAACCAAAAATTACTGACCAAAAAGTCAATTAATTGCACTGTGTTTTTTGGCTCATTTTAACATTGCTAAACTGTGAGTCACTTTAGTCTGTAACCTCGATTGAGCCTCCTGGATTCAAGCTCAAGCAAGTAAAGTAAACTGCCTAACGCTGAGCCAGTTGTTGGTTCTCAACTTATTGGCTTCTTGTCCACTCAGCAACCTGTCAGTTGAATATCCTTTCTACACCACCCTTTGGAAGCTTGTCCTGACGAAGCTTTTGCCAGTATCCAACAAGTTGAAACAGATGCCACATTTGGTCAGAGTATAAGAACCAGTAAGCAAATTACTAATTTCAGTACTGCTGTTGGGAAAGACTGGCTTTGTTCTTTTTCAGAGCTTCGGCCCTTGTATCCTTTTACTAGGGTGTATTTTGGGAAAGTGATGAAGTATAAGCACATTTTTTGGAGCATATTAGAGCTGATGGAACTGTACACTTGGAGTACCCAGTTGTACATGAAACTCCATCTTGAAAAGAATCCTGATTAAGTAATTCCAGCTAGGAACTAATATCTATGATATTTTGTTAGAAGTTGCTTCATAACATTTATGTAAGCATCTTCAGAATTTGAACACTAAAACCTTATTTATCATCCAGGTGAAAAGACAGAGGATTTGAATTAGCAGCCAGAAAAGCAAAGTTTCAGTCCAAGATTTTTCTACTGGGAAAAATCACATCTCTCAAGGAAGGTAAAAAAAAAAAAACAGCAAGAATTGAAAAACAATGCAAATGCAAAAAAAATTGCCTATGTTTATTGATATAGCAAGCATGAGAATACTATGTATCAAATTCAGGACTTGGGCCAGTCACAGTGGCTCACGTCTCTAATTCTAGCACTTTGGGAGACCAAGGCAAATGGATTGCTTGAGTTCTGGAGTTCGAGACCGGCCTGTGCAACATAGGTAGATACCCATTGCTACAAAACAATTAAAAAAATAATTAGCTGGGTGTGGTAGTCCCAGCTACTCGAAAGCCTGAGGTAGGAAGATTGCTTGGGCCTGGGAGGTTGATGCTGCAGTGAGCCACGATTGTGCCACTGCACTCCAGCCTGGGTAACAGAGTAAGACCCAGGCACACACACACACAAAAACAAAACAAAAGAAAAAAACCCAACAATCTCCCACCTCCCACACATCAAATTCAGGACTTGGAGAGAGACATACCTCCTGATATATTTAAAAATTTTTATTTTATTTTTGAAACAAGAGTTTTGCTCTTGTTGTATAGGCTGGAGTGCAATGGTATGATCTCAGCTCACTGCAACCTCTGCCTCCTGGGTTCAAGCAATTTTCCTACCTCAGCCTCCCAAGTAGCTAGGATTACAGGCATCTGCCACCACACCCAGCTAATTTTTTGTATTTTTAGTAGAGATGGGGTTTCACTATGGTTGGCCAGGCTGGTCTCAAACTCCTGACTTCAGGTGATCCACTCACCTCAGCCTGCCGAAGTGCTGGGATTACAGGTGTGAGCTACCACGCCTGGCCAAATTTTTATTTTTTAAGAATCAGCAGCAGGCCAGGATTTGGGGCTCATACCTGTAATCCCAGCATTTTGGGAGGCTTAGCGGGGTGGATTGCCTGAGCCCAGGAGTTCAATAGTACCCTGGGCCACATTGAGAAACTCTATCTCTATCAAAAAACAAACAAACAAACAAAACCCCTGAAGCAATAGCGAATTAATATTTGTTATATCGAGGTGACAAATACATGAATTTCTTTTATGTTGTTTATTTTTTTCTTTTCTTTTTTTTTTTTTTTGAGATGGAGTTTCGCTGTTGTTACCCAGGCTGTAGTGCAATGGCACGATCTTGGCTCACCGCAACCTCCGCCTTCTGGGTTCAAGCAATTCTCCTGCCTCAGCCTCCCGAGTAGCTGGGACTACAGGCCCGAGCTACCATGCCCAGCTAATTTTTGTATTTTTTTAGTAGAGATGGGGTTTCACCATGTTGACCAGGATGGTCTTGATTTCTTGACCTCGTGATCCACCCCACCTCAGCCTCCCAAAGTGCTGGGATTATAGGCGTGAGCCACCGCGCCTGGCCTTTTCTTTTCTTTTGAGACAAGGTCTCAGCTCTGTTACCCAGGCTGGAGAGCAGTGTCATCACAGCTCACTGCAGTCTCAACCTTTGGGGCCAAAGGCATCCTCCCACCTAAGCCCACAAAGCAGGTGGGACTACAGGCTCACACCACCACACCTGGCAAATTAAACATTTTTTTTTTGTAGAGACGGGGTCTCACTATGTTGCTCAGGCTGGTCTTGAACTTCTGGGCTCAAGTGATCTTCCTGCCTCAGCCTCCCAAAGTGCTGGGATTATAGGCATAAGCCACTATGGCTGGCCTGTGTCTTTTTGTTTTTATAAATAAGACCCAAATACTTAATAAATTAGATGTAACAGTCTCAATAGAGAACATCTTACATACATAGAGAAATTTCAGTCAACATATCCCTTTCTTTTTTTTTTTTTTTGAGACGGAGTTTTGCTCTTGTTACCCAGGCTGGAGTGCAATGGCGCGATCTCGGCTCACCGCAACCTCCACCTCCTGGGTTCAGGCAATTCTCCTGCCTCAGCCTCCCGAGTAGCTGGGCTTACAGGCATGCGCCACCATGCCCAGCTAATTTTTTGTATTTTTAGTAGAGACGGGGTTTCACCATGTTGACCAGGATGGTCTCGATCTCTTGACCTCGTGATCCACCCGCCTTGGCCTCCCAAAGTGCTGGGATTACAGGCTTCAGCCACAGCGCCTGGCTCAACATATTCCTTTCATAGAATTAAAGTTGTGAGGTAAATGATTTTATTTATTTTTGGTTAATATTTTTTAGAGTTGGCATTTTGAACACAGTGACATGCAAGCACATGGGATAAGATGAATTAACTAGCAGCAGCAGCAGCCACCGCAGCATATAGCCTTGGATATGTTAACTTTCTGAAAGCATGGCTGTCACAGTATAACTGAAATGGGATCTCTATTTGTCAAATTACGGTGATCAGAGTAAATATTTCTTTTATTGAGTTCAGGCTACTGCTGTGTGGTCAGACTGTTATCTGTAGGTGCATTTTAAGTAGGAAATGAATCAGTTAAATGTCGAATCGGACTAGAATTCACTGAGCCTTTAAAATTGCCATTTCTTTGTCATCATCCAAAAAGAATGTAACATTTGCCAAACTATATTTCTGGCTCATCTAATCAGGTACTCAGGTTTTGGTGGAAACTACTGATTGTTTCAAAGACCAGAAATTTTCTTCCTCTGAAAGAAAACAGAATATAATTTAGAGAACTATAGCAAATAGTATTGCTGTAGGGATTTTTGGATATGAAGCCAGAGATTTGGAAATCCAAGCTAAACTCATCAACTGCATTTAGACTATTTTTCTGTCTTTCAATAGTTCAGTTGAAAGACCTCTTGGGGCAGTGAATTTTGCAGGTTATCACTAAATAACAGCTTAAAGAATGAATTCTAAGCTTTTTTTTAGTTTTATAAAGTTAAGGTTAAAGACTGGCCACTTTTCAAACTGAAACATTGTTTCCTGTGTATATTATTTTCTTAAACTTTTGAAGAGAGATTAGAGTTTAAGAAAACTCCAGGATTTAACTGTTAAAAACCTTATTTATGACCCTGGTGAAGGGAGAGGACAATCAAGATAGCAGCTAGAAAACTCAAGTTTATATAGGGAAACATATTTCTCAACTCACACTTTTCAAGGACAGTTAAGAGAAGTTTGAAAATTAAAATATCTTTGTAAATAAAAATAGTAAAAAACACACATATATCATATTGTTTAAATAATTCATGATGCAAAGAATGCTACAGAGTGAAATCAGGATTTGGAAAGAGGTAATCAATAGCCAATGGCTCATATGACTTGAAAATTTTTAGATCAATGGAAAGCCACTTTGAAAAAGTTTTGCTGTCAGCTGTTAATGAAATGACTTACATTTTTGGAAGGGGTCCTATTCGGTATCTAGTCTGACTTCGCCTACTCAAGTAGTTCTCTCTAGTATCCTTGCCAGTCTTCGGCTTCTAAGATCTGAGAATTTCTGGGGATGGGGAGTTCGAGTCACAATAACAAGCACTAGTTTGCGGCCAGCTCTAGGGTAGTCAGTGTCTCTAACTCTCCACTACTCCACTCCGAGGTGATTTATAAGGCCGGTCCGTCAACCCTGCATTATATGGCCTCAATGAAATAAAAACACATACTTTTTAACCTCCAGCAGCTCGTTTGGCAGTGCAAATACGTCACTTCGGATCTGGCTAACTACCTTTCCAGGCTGATCTTAGGCAACATTCACCAAATTGCCGATACCCCAGACAGCCAGGCCCATTTCATCGGTCAAGCTCTTTCACGGTTTTCAGACTCTATTAAGCCCCTTTCTCTCCAGGGCTGTTAAGTCCCCACTGCGGCGAAGCTTTTTTCATTTTCCACTTCGCCTCTGCTCCTTAAATTAGGCACTTCGTCCATTATCTACTACAGTGGTTCTCAAACACCTGCACCTGTATTTTAGCACTTCAGGCTCAAAACGATGATCATTCAGTGTGAGAGACTCTATCCAATGAATAAAAGGTCAATCTAGCAGGAAGGCGCCAGAGAGGCTATTTTTGATGAGGAGGCGGTCTGAACCGTACTCGCCTAGCCTCCGGTAGCTCCGCGGGCGCTTCGAGGGCACCGCGCTCTGAAAGGATGGGCGGGGCCTGCTCCGATGCTCCGGGCCTCCACAGGGGAGCCAGCCTCCAGGTTTCCCGGCAAGCTCCGAAACCCAGAGGAGGTGGGGAAAGGAGGTCACCGCGCCTGCGTGTTAGGAGGCGTGACCCGGGTGGGAAAGCCCTCCGCGTCCGCCATTTTGGCTGCCTCTGTCGGTCTGTTCAGTTACCACGTGAACCGCCGACGGAGACCCGTAGTGGGGGAGGCGGCGGCAGCGTTAAGTGAGAAAGGGAAAAAGACAACGAGGAAAAAGGAGGTGTCCGGGTAGGGCAACGCGGCGACACCCGAGGCCTGGTGGTGGCGGCGGATCGGGATATTCAAGGCTGAAGCAGCCAGGGTACGGCAGCGGCGGCGGTCGGACAAACTGACTGACCGAGCCGGGTGGTGGCGGGAGCAGCGGGAGCAGCCGGAACGATGCCGGCCGTGAGCCTCCCGCCCAAGGAGAATGCGCTCTTCAAGCGGATCTTGGTAAGTGTGAGGCTTCGGGAAAGCAGTGGGGAGGATTTAGCCGGTAACCGGGCCTGTCACCCTTAACCTCGGCCCGGCGGGCACTGAGCCACTCCCGCCCGGGACCCCGCCTTCGTAGTCCTCGTCAGGCCGAATGCATTGCTTCGCCCTCTCTCTGTGGTTGCTACTTCGGCCCGCGCGCGGGGGACCACGGGCTTCTTCGTTGCATCCCCACGCTTGAGGCCCTGGTTCCGGACTAGGCCCCGACCTCCCGGCTTCTAGACTCCGGTTCTCATTCTCACCGATCTGGGGGTGAAGAGGCCCGGCCTTTAGCCGGCAAGTGGGCGATATACCGGCAGGAGTCGCGGCCCGGTTGGTGTAGGAACCCTGCAGGCAGGCCGGGGTGGCACCCTTGGAAGGAACAGGTGGTGCGGATGCAGCAGGCTCATTCATTGCCTAAACGCGGTTCTTCCTCCATCATCTGTCCCTCCCTCTTCCTCCTCTCTTGGGATTCACCTGTCTCCGCCCGGCCCTGGGTCACCGAATGACCTGAGAGGAGGGAAAGGAGTTCAGAGAAGGAAAGAAAGCTTTTCAAACGACTACCTCCTTGTAGTCAGTTGCATTCTGGTGTCTTCAGCTCCTCTGCCTCCCTTGTTCTCTCGTTTTTTGGAGTTGGGATGAGGCATTTATTTCTCAGTTTCCGAGCGGGAAACAGCACCACCCCGTCACTTTGCTCGGGAGGTGGGGCCCATTGCGATGGGGCGGTTCGGTAGGAAGTCAAAAGTTGAGTCTTAAGTTGAAACGTTCCAGACCTAGACTTCTCTTACACTCTGAAGTGTGCTAACACATGCAAGAACTTACCGGAGAAAAGAGAATATAAATATAAAACTTTTAAGATGGATTTTGTAGACGCGGGTTCAAACTTATTCCCTACATTTCAAATGTGTGCAGTTTGCATTTTTTTAAACCATAAATGCATTGATGCTTGTAGGGACTGTTTACATTGTAAAGTATGTCCTGTAGCCTTGGAGCCATAATTAATGAATTGTAGCACATTTTTTGTTTGGCATTTAGTGTGTGGGTTGCCCCTTTCACGCAAACATTTCCTTATAATAGAATTAACTATGTTTGCCAAACTTAAGACTTCTAATATTTGGGATGTGTGTATGAAAGTGTTAGCCTTTTCCCCTGCAGTTGTAATTTATTTCACCTGTTTGAAAAGTAGAACAACTTTGGGGATTCAGTTTTTCTAGAAATAATCATCCTGTTGAACTAACTTTGATTTTACAAAAGTGTCCATATGCCCTGCAGATTTAGTGAATTCATGTTGAAAAACATTAGGAAGTCACATGCAGTGTCGCAAAACTGTTACCCTGAAATTCTTTTTTTTTTTTTTTTTTTTTTTTTTTTTGAGACGGACATTCGCTCGTTACCCAGGCTGGAGTGCAATGGCGCGATCTCGGCTCACGGCAACCTCCGCCTCCTGGGTTCAGACATCTCCTACCTCAGCCTCCCGAGTAGCCGGGATTACAGGCACGTGCCACCATGCCCAGCTAATTTTTTGTATTTTAGTAGAGACGGGGTTTCACCATGTTGACCAGGTTGGTCTCGATCTCTCGACCTCGTGATCCACCCGCCTCGGCCTCCCAAAGTGCTGGGATTACAGGCGTGAGCCACCGTACCCTGAAATTCTTATTGGCGTTTTGTTTTGTTTTTTTTCTAAGACTAAGAGTGTAGGTGGAGCTATAAAATAGTTTTAGGAAAAAAGTTACTTTTAAACCCTTAAAAAGACTAATTGGTGTGTAGGAAGGACTGTAACATAGGTTTCGGATAGCAATTTATCTTGAACCTTTTCTTCACAATTCTTTATTTTGAAAAAAAAATCAAACTGAAAGGTTGAGAAAAAGAAACACTCATAAACTCTTTAACACTTGATATTTTGCCATAAATGCTTTCTCTCTCCCTATATATATTTATGTATATATTTGTATAAAAGTAAGTTGTAGACATAAAACTTCATAGGCTGGGCACAGTGGCTCATGCCTGTAATCCCAGCACTTAGGAAGGCTGAGGCAGGTAGATCATTTGAGGTCCGGAATTCCAGACTAGCCTGGCCAACATAGGGAAATCCTGTCTCTACTAAAAATACAAAAATTAACCAGGCGTGGTGGTGTGTGCCTGTAGTCCCAGCTGCTAGGGAGGCTGTGGCACAAGAATCGCTTGAACCCAGGAGGTGGAGGTTGCATTGAGCTGATATCATGCCATGGCATTCCAGCCTGGGTGACAGAGTGAGACTGTCTTAAAACAAAAACAAAAAACTTCATCTCTAAATACTTCAGCAAACATATACTAAGAATAAGGACATTGTCTTTTACGCTTTTTTTTTGAGATGGAGTTTCGCTGTTGTCCCCAGACTGGAGTGCAATGGCACAGTCTCGGCTCACTGCAACCTCCGCCTCCTGGGTTCAAGCAATTCTCCTGCCTCAGCCTCCGGAGTAGCTGGGACTAGAGGCGCGTACCACCATGCCCAGCTAATTTTTGTATTTTTAGTAGAGATGGGGTTTCACCTTGTTGACCAGGATCGTCTCGATCTCTTGACCTCGTGATCCACCCGCCTCAGCCTCCCAAAGTGCTGGGATTATAGCCGTGAGCCACGGCACCTGGCCCTTTTATGCTTTTAACAGTTATTCTCTAATACTGTTTAATATCTGGTTCATATTCATATTTTTCCAATTGTTAGCACTTTTTAAATAAATCAAACTTTTAATTTTGAGAAGACTGTAATAATCAGATAGTTTAAGGAATAACACTTTACTCAGTTTTTCCAACACCAATACCTTGCAAAACCATGGTTCATTATTATAGCATTGATATCATCTACCAATTTTCTATTCAGATTTCCCCAGTTTATTTGTACATGTGTGTGAGTGCTTATCCACACATGTGCAGTCATCCCTTGGTATCTGTTGGGGGTTGATTTCAGGATCCTGCCAGATCCAAAATTTGCGGATGTTTGAGTCCCTTATATAAAGTGATGTAGTATTTGCATGTAACCTATGCATATCTCCCATACAGTTTAAATCATCTCTAGATTACATATAATACCTAATGCAGTATAAATTGATGTAGTTATACTGTATTTTTTAAAATTTGTAGTTTTTGTTTTAACACTCAAGACTTGCCATCCAGTAACAAAAATTTGTATTTTTAAATTCTTTTTTTTTGAATAATTTTTACCTATAGATACAGGCACCAAGGATAATGAGAGCTGATTGTATACATTTCTGCAGTGTTATCCCATATATAGACTGCACCACTACAGTTAGGCTACAGAACTTGCAGCAGTCCAAAGTACCCCTCTGTTGCCCTTTTAGAGTCAAATCCATCATCTGTCCCACCTCCCTCCCATCCCCTCCAGCAACCACTACATGTCCTCTATTTGTATAATTTTGTCATTTCCAGTATGTTTACTAAAAAAATCATACAGTATACAATTTTTTGGGTTTAGAGATGGCGTCTTCCTCTGTTGCCCAGGCTAGAGTGTAGTGGCTGTTCACAGGCTCTGTCACTAGGGCCCTGCAACTTCAAACTCCTGGGATCAAGGAATCCTCCCTCTTCAGGCTCCAGCATAGCTGGGATGACTATAGGCCTACTGCATCCAGCTAATAGTTTATTCCTCTTTATTGCTGAGTAGTATTCATGATATGGATGTACCACAATGTGTTTAACCATTCATAGAGTAGCAATTTTTGATTAAACATCTTAAATAATTTTTTGTGTGGTAGTGTTAGTGGGGCAAAAACTTGTAAGTTCATTGCTAAAATCACAATGCTGAAGATTTATTGATAAGATATATCTAAGAGAAGTGTGGAAAGCACTAAATGAAAGAAAAGTAAAGGAGCTAAAATGTCCTTTTTGTTCTCATAAATTAGGAATGAAGAAAGTATTATTGACCAAAAGTATAGTATTGATTTTTTGAAATTGCTTCTGTTTCTTGAGATTTGGTAGTAAGTTAGTGCTTTTGATTTTAAGATTTTTTTTTTGCCCTGTCTGATAAAGGAAATGTTGGACATACTGTGATGTGTGAGCTGTGTGTAATTAAGTGTTGCTAGGTTGGTAACTTTTTTTTTTTTTTTTTAAATGAGACAGAGTTTCACTGATGTTGCCCAGGCTGGAGTGCAATGGTATGATCTCAGCTCGCCACAACAACCTCTGCCTTCTGGGTTCAAGTGATTCTCCTGCCTCAGCCTCCCTAGTAGCTGGGATTACAGGCATGCACCACCACACCTGTCTAATTTTGTATTTTTTGTAGAGATAGGGTTTCCCCATGTTGGTCAGGCTGGTGTCGAACTCCCCACCTCAGGTGATCTGCCCGCCTCGGCCTCCCAAAGTGCTGGGATTACAGGTGTGAGCCACCGTACCTGGCTAGTTGGTAACTTGTTAAATCATTCCTGTAGCATTCAACATTTGAGCTGCTACTTTCTTAGTTATACTGTACTTTTGATAGGTAGGAAATGATGTTAGTTTGTATTTCAAAATAATCATGCTTTTCCCTTAATTTTTTAATGGAAACCTGGTTTACACATAAGTTTGCA